GTTAGCGGAGTAATACGAAACGAACTGAATCATGCAGTTGCATCTTACAATGCAATGTGATGCAACGAATTGGATATTGGTCGGATTGACAAACAAGTCTAATATGCTAATAGTGGTCGGATGTGGAAAGGGATTTGCTATCATCAACGCCTTTTGATTAACTGAGAATAACCCTGCAGAGTAGGTACATACAAAACATTTGCTGGACAGTGGCACCTGGAAATAATTGCCAAAAGCACACCAAATTATCAAAAAATGCTTTCTCCTCAAACTTATCAACGTCATTCTCAAAAGTGGTTGCTGAGGCACCCATCTAAGAAGTGCCGTGAGCAGTATGATTGATATGCTTGGCGAAAAGGCAGTGTGACTTGTCAGTGCATTTAAGGCAGTCGCAATCGCGTGAAATGTGTTAACATTTTGAAGCCTTTAAGGTAAGAAAAATAGTAAAAACACAGGAAAACAAAGCGGCTGGACTCTGAGTTTGCATTTTTGAGGCGTTTGGGTGAAAAAGTTAAGCATTTTCACGACCTTGCTATAAACTATGTGACGCAGTGGCAAAAATAGCAGAAGAAAGTACCAAGGGTTAATATAGCGCTCGCGTAGGGTTTATGCAGGAATTCCAGATAACAGACTTTCGTGCAAATCGTTAATATCAACGAGGGTCCCACGCTATTTGAATCATTGTTTTACGTTCACACGCACCCGGGCGACCGCTCGCATGCCATGTTTTCGGGGTCAATTTCACCTCTTGAAATTTCAAAAATCAAGAAAGCTAGTGACACAAAGTTCACATGATAGGTTGGACTTTAAGTTAACTTACTTGTGTCAAATTACGTGATTCCTGACGTTATAGATTTGGGTCAAGGTTAAGTTATTTTATATCAAACTCAAGATTGATGTTCGAAAACCCTGAGACATCCTCATGCAACAGGCTCCAACCTCGATCCTCGTCAAAGCAAAGGGTCAGTGTTGTGAATTTAAGATCAGCAATCTTATTTGAGCTTCAGAAGATCAATATGACCAAAACCTGTGCGACTCTTTTAATATTTGTATTTAGATAAGTAGGAACTACGCTAGGTGATATATTCTTAAAAAAAACAAGAAGTTGATGGGAATCATACTTGGTCGCTGACCTTCTTAGGCATTTGTGAACACAAATAAAATGCTTGTTGACGTCCTTGTGATCAAGGCAATTGAGATGAGCACCAAAAACCAAGGCATAAAGCAATTTGTACCGTAAAAGAGCGATAAAGGCTTGACCTCGGTCTGACCTTCATATATGACCCAAGGTCCTTGGAACTAGCCGTTATCCTGACTTCAGCTGTCAATAGCCTAAAAACTGTTTCAAGGATGCGTGACTTCGTCTAATCCTCCGTTGTCGCACCAGGTCGAGCGATTCCCTAGCAATGGCTTTCGCTGACAGCCACGGCCTGACTCACCTGCCATAGATCAGCGACCTTGCAAAGTTATTATAAGTTTTATATCAGAAGATTGGCTGTTCAAATGCCTACAGCGTCGCCCCGCCTTTCGGAAATTATTCTGGGAAAAAACCTTCGGTGGAGGCAATTGACCCCCCCCCCCCCCCCACCTGAGCGCTTGTTAACGTTGAGTTTAAGTCAATGCATGATCTCGGACGGACGGAACCATCGATCATTCAGAGGCCGCTGGCCCGGCGCCACAGCTCTCTCCCTCTCGGGAGAGAATGCATTCCTAGCACGCCTGTACGTTTGGCACATCCCCGAGGCTCCCCACAGAGCCGCCAAACATGTCTGCCAAACCCAGCAACGGCAGACTTTGACAGCAAACCAGAAATACCAACGGCAGAGCTCATCCGAACTGGTCTGTGAGTTCCTCTCAGATTGAGAGACGTGACTGGCAGCGAAACTGGCGCTAAGCATTTACGGCATGTTCGCGATGCTGGGTAGTAAAGTCGTGCTAGCACACACAGCGGGTGAGAGTTACAAGCGGTGAATCTGCCTCTGCTGTGATAGACTGGAGGCTAGTGCAGCCCAGGCTCAGGGTGTCATTGGCTACTGGCTGTCATGTCCCGTAAAACATGAGTTTTGTTTTTTAGGACAATTCAGGGCCGGAATACCGCCCTTGCTACTCGGGGTCCAGATCATTTTATCGGTAATGCCTTTGGTGTTGAAGCGCACCAACTCACTCTGCTAGCTCGCGGCACATTTAGTCAATTTAACTTACTATTTACTTTGCATCGGGAGTCCAAACCGGGTGAATGGCCAAAGTAACCTACTCTTTGGGCTTAATTAGAGAGAGAGAGAGAGAGAGAGAGAGAGAGAGAGAGAGAGAGAGAGAGAGAGAGAAAGCGAGAGATGGATGTTTTACTATATACGTTCACGAATGTGCGCGCTTGTCGTAATCCTATCTTGCGAGTCAACGCCTCGGCAAAAAACCCTTTCGTCGTACGTCACACCCACCGTACCTTCCAATGACCCTCAAAAATATAAGTGCTGAAAATACAGTGAAAACGTAATAAGCCCGAGCTATTTAAGTGATGATCGTGATTGGTGTATTACTAACAATGAATCGTTCTCTTTCATTTGAAAGAAAAGGCCAAAGCCTGTGCTGGTGGCGGCAACTTGCGGAGGATTCTGGGCGCCGGCTCGGCGCAGTGAGTGCATCTGGTGTCCCCCATAGAGCTCCTGCCATCTCAGGCGTGCTCCCAGAGTGCCCGCTTCTTCGACATGAGTGTCTCAGAGTGCCTGCTTGTATCCAAAGTGTCCAGATCGCAGCTTGTGCTTCTGATGACCCCACATTGACCCGAGGAGTGTCTTAATCTCTGCAACTCTTCAGCCGCTTGCTTCGTCCCCTGTTGCTTCCTCATCCTGCGCGCCGTTTTGGCGCAACCGTTCTCGACTCAGCTGGTCAAACGAGTGCCAGACGACGCACACAATGTGACCCAGAACTCGAAGCATCCCACCGTTAGCCACGGCCTACAAGCTTGGCTTGACCGGGCGTGCTCGGTCGGCCACCCTGGCCGGTGACGCTTGTGGGGGGAGGGAAAGGCACCGGTCCCACTGAACAGTGGACCATGGCGAACGAAGTCCGTGCGACGTGGGCGCCCGTTCGGAATCTACACACACAGTCTCTGAAATGCTGGGACCGCCAAGGGAATGCGAGCCATTCATGAACACTTACGTAATTGCGGCACGTGCAGCCCTGTACACAGACAGCCACGATGACGGTGGATATTAAGTCGATTATTCTATTCATTTGGGGCCGCACTGAGCACGGCTGGCGCGTAATGCGCTCGTCGCTTTGACGTTGCCACCAGCGCCATCACTGATCGGTTGCCTATGGGGGGGGGGGGGGGAGGGGGAGGGGGGGGGGGGAGAATACGCGTCTATGGCTCAAAGATCCGAACTCATAGGCGTCAGAATGTGAGTAGGGGTCAGGCTTAGTGGTTATTGTCCTTTTTTCATTTTGCTCAGTGATCATCGAAGTCAGGCATGTAAAAATGTTGCATGTTAAAAGATTTTCTGCTTCCAAAAACTCCTTGCAGACACTATATTTATCTCCGTTCGTCCATAGATTTACTTGGCATTCCCACACGCAATGGTAAACCTTAAAGGAACCCACAGCGGTAAGTGCAAATGACGATGATAAAACATGGAACATTACGGAAAAGAACCGGGGGAATAGTATGTGGACAAACCAGTTCAAGTTGCCTTCTCCAAAAACTTGGCACCGCCCACAGCAATGTTCTTGTCGTCATTCTGTGGAGGCAATAAGACGTAAACGTTTGGGCGTCGTTTGCTCAAGACGTACCTAAATGCATTTAAGTAAATTCTCCTTGTCCTGTCAAACTTTGCTTTCATCCGAATTATTGCACCACAAAGCGTATTAGTTGCTCCCACAGGGTTTTCCGGGCATAGTAATAGTTGCAAGTGGCCCAATCGAGTGGTCAAAATGTGTGAAGATGCTTGGGTATTTTCTCTGCTACCTGCTTTGCTTGGCTCGGCTGCTTTCTTGCCGCTAACCACGGACTTAACACGCTAGAGAGCTCTAACACCGTGCTTTGCTTCCAGAGTGTCATGGCAAAAGGTACACCCCGCAAGGCCACGAGTATGGACGGCCTCCAGATTCTGCCGCCATCGTGCCCGAACCCACGCCGTAAATGTTTAATTAAAAATCTAATGATGTCTGCCTCCCCGCAAAATGTAGCACTTTAGGCAGACGACCATAAAGTGGGCGATTAGTGTCCGCGACCACTTGAACGTGACGATTCTAGAGAAGCGCATGCACTACTCGTCTGGAATCCCCATGTCGGAGAACCGCTGGTTTTGGGAAAACCAGCACTACGGTCTCCTATGTGACCATGGTCCGTTCTCAGCAGAGCTTGTAGGGTAAACCCTTATTCCACTACCCAAGTAGTGCTCCTTTCGATCGTATGGGAGTCTGCCAGGCCCTGCGCCGGTAGGACTGGCAGTCTTCTCGAAGTACTCAGCCTTGAACATGGTCGACGCCCGCCCTGGTGGGTCCCTCCTGAGTGGTCGGATAGTGACGATACCATACACCGCTGAAGCCCGGAGTCTGCCGCCGACCGGCTGTGAGGCTGGCGTGTTTGCACAGGACCCCAGAGCCGCCTGCATCTGCCACACGTACTCCCCGTAAGCCCGGTGTCTGCTGCTGACCGGCTGTGAGGCTGACGTGTTTGTACAGGACCCCAGAGCCTCCTGCATCTGCCACACATACTTCCCTCCGTTAGCCAGTGCTTGCGCTGCTGTGCCTGATTCGACCTAGCGCCGAACCGTTACGCGTCAAGTGTATGCCTATATTCTACCGGTAAAAGAACTTACAGACAATGGCCCGCTTTTGGCGAATTTCAGAATAAGACAGTGTGTTCACACATGTGGCTTTGAGTTTTGGGTGCTATCAGTGTTCCTGCACATACATTGAGGCCGCGTACGGCCAGCCCCTCAGTCAGTTCCGGAAGCCGACTGTAGCGCGATGAGAGCTGGATTCCGATTCCCTGCCAGAGAGAACGAGCCGCCGCCCGTCGAGGCGGTGCCGATTCCGGAGGCGGCCATCCGAGCGCCCCCGGGCGAGGGGTGCCCCCGCTGCGGCGGCGCCGTCTTCGAGGCCGAGAAGATGAAGTCGCGCTTCCGGGTGAGCGGACACGGAATCGTAGAATCGGGGAGTTGTTACACACACCGAAGAATTCGTTTGAATGATGTTATCGCGGTCGGCGCGAAGAAGCGGGATTATGATTACCACGGAATCTTTTAATCGTGGTTGACTTCAGACCGCATAGCGAATCCATTTCAGTTGAAGCCAATCACTTTGGTGGGTTTCATTGCAGGGGTTCCATTATTGGATGGTATGACGACATCGCTTTGCACGCTTTGAAACTGGACTTATAAGCGGACGCTTCAAATGCCTTTACGTCACGTTGCCTTACAAGCATGTTAAGTGACAAACATTCATTACTTGCGCAGTGCTTCTTACACGTCCTGCCCAAGCTGACAGCCAACTTCGGCAAGCGTTGTTTACCTATACCAAATGCTCGGTAATAGTAAAGACGCTAAGAATGCAAATAATCTGTTTAAAAGCGCATGATAATGTATCATCCCATAACCCATTTTCTCACGGTATTGCAGCTATTTTGCCAACTGGCGATGCGTATTAAAGATAAACTCCAGAAAAACCACGCATGATGCCAACAAACCTACACAAATGATTATGGCTGCTGCACCCAAGTGCTTTACTTCCTGCCTCCAAGCTTTCGCCGTATTCCCAGAACTACCACAAGCCTTGCTTCAACTGCAAGGCGTGCCACCGCATCCTGGACTCGACCAAAGCCTGCGACGGTCCCGACAAGGACGTCTACTGCAAGCTCTGCTACTCCAAGAAGTACGGCCCCAAGGGTTACGGCTTCGGAGGCGGCGCCGCCTTCCTGCAGTCCGACGTCATCGCGTGAGTTGTCCGTCATAATGTCGCGCACGCTGATGTCATGTCCGTGTCGGTGATGACACCATGCCATCCACGTGGCACGAAGAGTCGTCCGCGATGATGCTGACGTGCCGATAGCCCAGTTGGTGAAACATCACGCTGGTCGCGAGCGAAACGCACCTATGAGTTGGCAAGTGAGGAGAGTTTTCCAGTTGGCTTGAGTGTCAGTTGGGTATTGCCTCAAAGAGATGCCTGTCAATAGCGATCGCTGCTTCTGTTTTACTCATTTCCGTGTGCAGAAGCAGAACAATTGTGTTCACATATCACTGTAGCATTCTTTGAAATCCTGGGTCAGCTCTTGAGTCCATACCACCACAGAACACAGTGATATTGAAAAACGGAGGCGATGCATTGGTGAGCTTCGTTAGTTTCCTGCGCCCGGGTAGTCCATTTTGGTCAAAATGGGTTGAACGAAATCGCTTTGCTACCCTCGCATTCCTCAGTCATGTCCTCCTATTTTTTCGTACCATCGAGGTCAATAATTTGTTCTATAGGATCACCGGCATTTACGTCATAAAAAAGTGAGAATAGAAATTATAAGAATGGTCGCCTTTGCTAGCATCCTGCCAGCCAAGGACAATGGGGGTATAGATGTCCAATTCGAAAATAAAACTAATGGTAACAGCACCATTCCACCCAGGGCTATTTTGCACCACTTATTGTTTACACTGAGCATTGAACTGCTTAAGTGAAACATTGATTTGAAAGCTGGATCGCACTGCGACGCCGTGTGTACAAAACAACATTGGTGGGTTGTTTTCATTCTCAGAGCTGAGTCTCCCCAGTCGAAGCCCGAGTGGGTAAAGCTGGACCGAACCTCCATCAAGCCGACAGAAGGGCCGGGATGTCCGCGCTGCGGGGGTGCTGTGTTCGCCGCCGAGTTGATGCTCTCCAAGGGTCAGGTACGGCACTTGCATGAACGCAAGCAGCTTTAACATGGCTGTACACTGGCCATTTGAATGATTACATCATCTGTATCTTGTTACACATAGGATATTTGTGTAGGCTTGTATATTCAGCTTGTGGGAACAGCTATGCAAAAATCGCAGCTGCAGGAAGTTGAACATGCACAACTTTTACCACTTCTTCTATGTTTGTAGGTACGATTTGTGCAATGACAGTCATCTTTTTGCCTACATCAAGTTTTCGCTCTGCTGTTGACAGACTAACTGTATTTAAGCGCCCCAAGAAGCACATTAAAGCCATCTAAGCTTGCATCTGGTTTCCAGTCGAAAAATTATCAAACTTCCAGACAGGACACACTGAGGATTTGCAGCCAGAGGGATTGGCATGACGGGATAGCGGGAGAAAAGTACTTTGCTTTTTGCAAGCGAGTTCCAGCCCCACCGACAGCACCTACACACTACGAACAGACAATCAGACCCCTCAAACGCTGATAGGTACAGCACTTAACATATCAATGAGCTATTGGTACTTGGTTATTCCACTGCCTGAAATAACTGTCTCAGCTGCTCACACATCCATTCGTTTGTTCGCTGACTTTGTCACCAAATCACGGGTGTCGGGCTGACGCGTCACTGCCCGTGATAGTCTACGAAGTTAAAGCCAACGTAGCTTTCCAGATTACCATATTGTGAGATAATATTCAGTAGTGTCGTAGTGAAAAAGTGCGCTCGGATTTGACGAGGGAGAGCTGAGGCTTCATAGGTCCCCCTCCCCTTGGCTGCCGCACTACTTGCCTGATTCTAGAAGAATATTGAGCTAAGATGTGTAGTCTTTCTTTTCACTTCATTGTAACTCACAGCACAGCTGTGTAATATCATGATGACATCACGCGTTCTGTGGGACTGATAACTAACACACTTAATTTTGTATTTACTTATAATTCACTATGATTGCTACGCCGATAAGTGTAATTGCCACAGCTGTTATGTGAGCGATGTCGTCGACCGAGAAGCCTGCGCGCGGCCACAAAAACGCACCGGAAATTTTTGGGTGCTGTAGTCATTCGGCCCGCACCTATGTTAGACGGATAGCTAACAAAGCAAATGTATGAAAATGATGTCCTCCACCTGAGACCGTCCTCGCGCCATGACATCACGCCACATCACGTCACGCCCCGTCTGCACAGGAGTGGCACATCTCCTGCTTCAGCTGCCGCGACTGCAAGCGACCCCTGGACTCCACCATCGCCTGTGACGGTCCCGATCGCGAGATCTACTGCAAGAACGACTACGCCAAACGCTTCGGCCCCAAAGTCTTCGGCTTCGGCCGCGGCGCTGCCTTCACCCAGACCGGAAGCGTCGCGTGAGTTTGTCACAAAGGGACATAATGTCACACGATGTGCGGTGATGTGAAAATGTGCTGATAGAATGTGACATGCGTCATGAGCGTAGCGTAGGGTGTCTAGAGGGAACCACGCGGCACTGACGCCTTGGTCGTGCCATGGTATCGCCGAGCAAAGCGACGCCGTGTGGATAAAAACGTCGCTGATGGATCGTTTTCATTCTCAGAGACGAGACAGCTCAGTCGAAGCCCGAGTGGGTGAAGCTGGACCGAACCTCCATCAAGCCGACAGAAGGGCCGGGATGTCCGCGCTGCGGGGGTGCTGTGTTCGCCGCCGAGTTGATGCTCTCCAAGGGTCAGGTACGGCACGAGCCGACAGAAGGGCCAGAATGTCCGCGCTGCGGGGGTGCTGTGTTCGCCGCCGAATTGATGCTCTCCAAGGGTCAGGTACGGCACGAGCCGACAGAAGGGCCAGGATGTCCGCGCTGCGGGGGTGCTGTGTTCATCGCCGAGCTGATGCTCTCCAAGGGCCAGGTACGGCACGAGCCGACAGAAGGGCCGGGATGTCCGCGCTGCGGGGGTGCTGTGTTCATCGCCGAGCTGATGCTCTCCTAGGGTCAGGTACGGCACAAGCCGATACGCTGGGATGTGCAAGTGCGATAACTGGCTTTTCACAGCGAGCGTGAACCTTAGATTGGTAGATTGTAAGGTAATTGTACGCATAAACGTCATAATTACACAGGGAATCCGGATTCTTACGCTGTGCCGATAGCCTACATGGCAAAGGCGGATTGGGAAAAACAGTGAATAGTTCATATGTTTTATTGCAACCAAGCATATGTACCTGCCTAAGTGAAAATCTATCCACTCGAACATAAATATGTGCATAGGTTTGGCTTATTTGGTCACTCTCTGATAATCTGACAGCAAGCCCCACAGTCATATCGCGCTACGCTTTGGCACGTCGCATGCACGTCACGTCACATCACGTCACGTCGCATCACGTCACGTCACATCACATCACGCCCCGTCTGCACAGGAGTGGCACATCTCCTGCTTCAACTGCTGCGACTGCAAGCGACCCCTGGACTCCACCATCGCCTGTGACGGTCCCGACCGCGAGATCTACTGCAAAAACGACTACGCCAAGCGCTTCGGCCCCAAAGGCTTCGGCTTCGGGCACGCGCCCACTCTGGTGTCTTTCTTGGGAGAGGACGAGAACCAGTGAGTGGATGAAAGTGCCATGGGAGATCTCTTGTGGGAGAGGACGAGAACCAGTGAGTGGATAAGAATGCCATGGGAGATATTTCATGGGAGAGGAAGAGAACCAGTGAGTGGATGAGAGTGTCATGGGAGATCTTTCATGGGAGAGGGCGAGAACCAGTGAGTGGATGAGAGTGCCATGGAGATCTTTCATGGGAGAGGACGAGAACTGGTGAGTGAATGAGAGTGTCATGGGGGAACGGTTGTCTGCACACATGCGGCTTAGGTCTGCGGTTTGGGTCTTCAAGTGCCTCCTTTGTCCGAGGCATACGCTGTCTACGATCGCGCGAGACCGGGCCTGCAGGCATGGTCTGGAGTTGTGCTGTAACCGGCACACTACACCGGCCAGCCGTCATTGATCTCGACCTCCACCTCTTCGCTTGGGGATCTACTGAAAGTAGGACAGGAGGTTGACAGTGGAGCACTTTAAGGATTAAAGCAATTCCCGGATAGTGGATCAATCTGCAAGCCGGATCAGACCGGATCAGAAATTTCCACCAAAAATGAATAAGCACTGAGCCGGGTTTTCAAATCTGCTGGCCCACACGGACTGAAGGGATTGTAAACTGACCAAATGGACGTTATCACTAAATAGTCCCTAAAATGCTCAGTGAAAGCACCAACCCAGAAAAACACCTTTTAAGTAATAAAATACACTACTTTCAATTCCAAGCAATGCGCAGACAGGTTGCATAGTAAATAACAGCTACACGTTCTACAAACAAATTTTGTGATGCAAAGATCACATGCACAGATCACAGATCACAGATCACAGATCGCAGATCACACCTAAAGGGGAGAGGGGGCACGTGCCCCGTGCCCCCTGCCTGCGCTTCTGATTATAATCTGTGCATGTTGCAGCCACGGCGTACGAGGGACGTTACATATTTGACTAAGACGTTGCGCCATAGTACAAGGTGCCAATAGTATTTATTTTAGCATGTTGAATGAAAACATAAAAATTGTCGCGCTGTTCTTATTTTGTCTAAAAAATAGCATGGAACTGTTGAAATGTGACTTCACGTGATGCAATGTGCAATAATCAATACAAAAGTTTTCGCATTTTTCCAGTGTAAGCGAAAAAAGGATATTTGGTAGTTTCTGCCTTTTCAGCAATTGGGTACAAAACTAACGCAACTGTTTCATTTTCCTGAATGGAAGAGAAATGCAGGCATCTCCCAGGGGGAAGTCGGGCGCATAGATGACGATTTTGATGCAGCCGGTAATCTAGCAGGAATTGATGGTCGCAGTTGAGGTTGTTTCGTTTATTGGTGTATCCGAGAAGGGATACACGCCTGAAGTATCGCACATGAGGTGAGATGGTCGTCTTGGCTATTTGGAAAGTGTACTAGATGAGCTTCGTCCTGTGCTCGTGATCTGGGTGCCGTTGAAGCTGTCGACTGGCATGTATAGGTATGTTGCATCTAATCTGGGGTCTGAAAAATTAATGTGCTCATGTCTTTAAGTCATTGAAACCAGAAGCGGTTTTGGTCTCGGTGATGTGATGATGTGGTGATGTGGTCTGTGCTTTGGCTTGTGAATTATCGACCAAACTAACTGTGAGATAATTGATGATATGATGTGCTTTATCCCATCCTCCATGCAAAATCGCATTCCCAACAGGCAAAAAGCTGTGCTATATATCTAAGCACCCACTGGTTGAGAGAAATTTTGCACATTTTTGTCAATAAAAACAACAAATAACTTAAGTTTCAGGTACCCTGATGGCCAAAGTCGCTGTTAATCTTTTCAAAAGTCTTTTTGTGGGAGCGGATTGCCACGGATTCATTTGATGATTTTTTTTACTAAGTGGATCAGACCGGACGGGATGGAGAAATCCGGCAAGGGCGAATTGGCGTGCGCATCAGATCTGGACTATCCTGATTGGGCTGGACCGGACCCTATAAATTAGATCGGTGAAGTGCCCCAGTTGACAGTGCAGCGCCTGGTTGTGTTCGCGCAGATTAGTGGACCAGGTGACGGCTCCGTCGATGGGCGCCAAGGCGGCGCCGGGCGAGGGGTGTCCGCGCTGCGGGTTTTCCGTGTTCGCCGCCGAAATGATGCTGCACAACGGACGGGTGAGCGTACACACCGCCTGCCTGGGCACTGGGGCTTCACAACGCACTCCTCTGCTGAGGCTATATGGCGCCGCTTTTCTCACTCTGGCACGAAGGGCGGCCACCGCGGAGAATCGAACCCCGCACCTTTGGTCTCTCATACACACAGCTTAATCACTGCATGATCGAAACGCGGGATGTAGGGCTAGAGCAACTAACGCCTGTTCTTATTCTGGTACAACGAATGGGTCCCGCACATCCCATACCTCGCAACAGTTATCATGTCGTGAATAACTGACCTTTAACCTATATCGGGAGGTACCCGCAGAGCGACATAGTCAAAAACATTCATTGGCATGCATTGGCTTGACGTTTCGAAGAAGTGCCCATCATCTGGAGCGTGATGGCACCGCGCTGAGACGTCGATTCGCCCACAATACAGACCTCCAGCTGCCTGCTGACGCCTTTGAACCAGACCTTTTAATATAAGGCAGGTCGGTTATGTCCAACAGAAGAACTGATGAGGCCAAAAATAGTATCTAAAAGACTTTCCTGTTCATGTTTGACGCCACGTCATATCGAACGTTTACTCGATTTTCAGGGGCACTGAAGTGAAATCACCCAGCGATGAGGCATACCTACACCTGCACATCCCATCAGGGGATACGCCTGCGGGCCGCAGGAGGATTTTCAGCATTGTCCTGTCTGCGGATCACAACCATCAGAGCATGCCATATCCCTCATGCAGGGCACGCACTCCAACAGCCAGACGTTTGAATAGGAGCATGCGTCAGTAAATGCCTCACCAATATGCTTCCATTGCAGACGTACCATCGGCAGTGTTTCAGCTGCACAGAATGCAACCGGAGCCTGGACTCGACCAACACGTGCAGTGGACCCCAAAACGAGCTTCTGTGCCGCACCTGCTACGGTCGCCAGTTCGGTCCCAAGGGCGTGGGCTACGGCCAGGGAGCCGGTGTGCTCAGCATGGGTTAGCACGCGGCGTGACAGCGCCGAACGTCCTTGGCGGACTTCGAGCCGGGCCCGTGGGCTTATCGGTCGATGGTGGTCGGTGGGCCCACGAGCTGGAGGAGTCCCCGGCCTCGCGGACGCGCCATGACGCCGCAGGAGGTGGTGGCGTTACCGCGAGTGGTTTTTAGGCGTTGGCTTTCTGGTGGCGATTATTAGCACAATGAAATGTTTATCGCTGAGCGGTAAAGAGAAAGAGTTATCAGTTCGTGCAGCGACGTTCGTGTCATACTAGTTCAGCAAACATTTACAGCAGCCTCATATTTTCGAATTTCCGAGGAGATAGATTCGACGAAAATGATGCTTGTTATTCTGGCAACGTGCCAGTTGAAGAACTGCATCGGATCAGGTGTTGTTCAACAACATTTTTGCTCATGACAGGCGCGAGGAGTGATTTGCAGTGTGTGTAGAGCTGTTTTCAATAAACCTTAGTTGGCACATTGTTATCAACATTGGCCGTCACCAGACATGGCGATGGGGCTGTGATGAAATAGTACGCTACACCGTTCAGGCCATCGGTTATTAATGTGTCTGATTGAACAGCCTGAAACCAGCTTGGAAACCAGCCAGCAAACCAGCTAGGCAGTTAAGCAGCAAACCTTCAGGCAGTTTGCAGCCCGAACCACCCTGTAAATTCACATAGAACATGGTCGGTGTTCAATAAAGAAATGTTAGCTGCCACCTCGGCCAGGTCACACCACACACCGTGCTATGTAATCGTGTGATAAAACTTGCTTTTATGGTAAAATTCAACATAAATCACCCAAATCAGTTGAACAATATGGAGGCAGTCCGCGTCTCTGCTGCTCAGTCGAACAGTCCGAGCCCCAGGAGAAGTTCGTCACAATGTATGTGATGACACCGTGCTTAGTTACGTTGAAACGTGTGCCGCTGGATGCGTCTGAGTAAATCTGTCCTTGTTTTTATAAGCACTGAATTACATTATGGGGCAGACAGCTTAAACTACGGTAAAATCCAAAAGTACATACACTTTGATAATATTGACTTGATGCGCCTGTAGTGATATATCAGAGCTGGACTTAACGCTGGCATGTACTAAAACGGAATTGACTATTCCAACTCCTTAGTTAGCTCTTTGAAAGTGAGACGTACTGTTTGTCAAATGAGGCAGCCATGAAACTACCAAAACTTCATGACAAAAATTATGTTACAACCGAAAAGCATGAAGTTTTTATGTTGACAATTTCTAAATAAAATCGCTAAGTGAACACCGACTTCATAATGACATCGCTCTGAGAACTTGTATCGCTGTATCTGCAGCTTGCATGAGTGAGGAAATGTACTCCACCATGTTGAGAACCCGCCATCGCTTGTAAACTATGCGCTCGTTACCTATGTGCGACTCATCCCGCCGAATTATCACCGCCACTACCGCTACGAAAGATCGCTGCACCCATGACTAAAGCCACCGTAACGTCAGTGATGGGGAGTGCAAACCCAGGACAGTCGATGGAGACGCATCTCTTTTTGCTGCCGTCATGAGAGATGATCACAATAACATTTTTTTTTCTCGAATTTGCTTCCTGCACAACAAACCCGCCTTTCTGGAGCGACTAAAAGTGAGGAGAACATCCGGAAATGTAGAGGAAAAAAATTACGCTGACAGTGTTCCAACCCTTATTAGGCATATCAAACAGGCACTGGGATGTACGGGATGAAATGGGCTGCATGGTGTAAGGACATAGACTGCATGCCCATGTATCCAGTATAATTTTGACTGGTTACATGAATGTACCATTGGTGTGATGGGCGTCGGAGACGGCAGACTCAAGCACCAGCAAAGAATGTGATGCGAAAAGATCACGTCAGCGTTTAAGATCACCACCATAACAAACATCGCAGAAAGACCTGAAATCCTCACATAACGCCCCGCGTGCTACTCAAAATTACCGCACGGTCATTTGGCATCGGTATAAGTCTCCTCCAAAAGTATATGTTCGACGAAGAAATCAGCGACATTGCGTGGAAAAGACAGTTAAAGGAGCTACGAGGGTGGAGCAAATGCGCAAAGCAGCGTATCAATTTGAACGACCTGGCCCCATGCCCCCCTCCCCCCCCCCCAAGCGCACACCTGCCGACCGCGCTCTGTGTGCCAAGGCCTTCACACGAAAAAGCGGACCGTGCGGGGCGGTCGATAACGTGTCAATACATGGTGTAATACGCCGGCCTCTGTCGCAGAAATGTGCGGCAAAGTATACGGAAATGTCTTGCCATGCAGGCTTGAAAGAGCTATAACGGCGCCGGCTTGCTTCGAGTCGATTGGCTGTCGCTAGTGGTGCGGCGAGTACCGGCATTCTGCGGTCGATTTGGAATCCACGGTGTGCTGCGCCGAGCGAGCAGGCTTCAGTGTCATTCACAAATCGCTCTGCATTTTACCTAAAGCCGTCGTAACTGAAACTGCAATGAGAAATACACGGGAGCAGAAACAGTCCTGTAGATAAATCGCGACTGCAACACGAGGGCGGTCGAAGTTCCGCATGAAGTCCTTGGCAGCCACGTGTTCCGGCCAGCAACCATAAACTGAGAACGGCGGTGTTTCTGGGGAGTTCTGCGCCCCGAGAGCTCCTCACCGACAACGACACGTCGTTTCGCAGCGCGTCGTTCCTGGAATTCACCAGTGGATGGTGTGTGAACATCAGGTACCGACCCGCCCATGTTTCGGCAGCGAAAGGCGCTTGCGAAAGAAACCGCCGATCCGTCACGATGATCACAACTCTCAAGGTTTGTTCGGTGGCGAAGGCTGCGTATAGGTATGACGTGATGCCGCGCAGCGATCACCTGGCTTCCAGCCCTGCAGACATTCTATTCGATTATACGTCACGAGTCTGCGATGATGACATTGATGCCAATGTGATTTCGTCTGCATAGGTGCCGTGGTGTGCCCATGGTTCAAGCTTCTTCATCGCCGTCAGTTCGGATTTGGGTTCAGAACAGCTGTTAAACTGGCTGACCTTAAGCAATATCCTATCAGAAAATATACCCAAACATAAAATGAAAGACATACATGATAGTACACTGATGTCCACTGGATGTACACTAAAAATAACGCAGAAATGTAGGAAATAATGAGACGCTAAAGCAGAAAATAGTACACTTAACTTAACCAGTGCTACAGGAGTGTGTTTTTTCCGTTTGAGTTGCGACCCTCGACTCTGAGAAGAAAAAGGGTCTTATCTGAGCAGGAGTCTGCCATAGGTGTATTTTGCAGGTAACTACAACCATTTTTTTCTTGCTGAACCCTCTTCCTTCCATGTGTTTTGCAAAGCTGCCTCCCTGTTATACTACATCCACCTAAAAACATGGTATTTCTTGGCCGACACCATGCACAAATAACAAGATCATGCATTTGGGTTCATACCTGTAGTAATCCTGCAGCAGTTAAACCAGCGTACTCCCACCCTAGAGACAAAATTTTCCTAGCTGCAGGAAGCCCCTGATGGATTCCTCTCATGTGTCGCTTCAGCTTCCTCCGTTGCCCCGCGAAACTGCGGTTCGGGTATCCTCAAACGATTAGCCTTCCACATCGGCAGGACTTTCTCACACTTCTGCCAGGGACGCCCTCCATGGTAAATCCTTACAACCAAGAGCCGCACAGCGCCTCACAGAGCCTGGCGATTAGGTACGTAATTAGGTATACAGGAATAGGTTCTTGAAATTAGGTATGTCTGGTGAGCCCATCACGACAAGAGCATAAACAAGGTGATAGCACAACCAGCAGCAACTAATACACTGATATACACGGTCCTACAGCGAGCCTGCAGCTCATAACCGCGTGGTCAGCATTTGAAACCACCTGCATCAATTGGCACGACGATTTCAAACGTGGCGCAGCAGACCGATCTCGTACGTCGCAAGGCGCTGACGCGAGCCACCATTTACACTGCTAGAAATGAGTCCAGTTATTTGTTTTTTTGTATTGTTTGGTTTTTGAAGTAAATCTTGACAGCACCGATATTTTGTTGTACATTTCCGTCACCTGCTGGAAACAATCCGGAGCTAAACTAATAAATTCGTAAGCATTTGACACTTTAACTTGCTTATGTCAACTTTCCGAAACACGTTCTGCACAATCTCGCGCTGCCAGCGTAGGTAAGTGGACACCAATGCTAAGCTTGGGGCGTCGTCTGATAGTCGTCCGTTGTAACTTACGCCAATTTCTACACTTTGTCACCAAAGCAGTCTTATCTCGTTTGTTTTCGCCCGGTCTCTTCTGGTGTGATCTGCCCCCCCCCCCCTCGCTCCTGTCCCGTTCCATCCCGTCCCATCCAGTCCCACCTGTCTCTCCCCTTAGCCGCAGTATTACCCTGTTCTCATACTTTGCACAAAATTCTGACGACTTTTATGTTTTTGATAATTTGGACTACAGCTGTGTTAACATATCCAAGCTAACATTACCCATGTCCGTGTGGGTATTCTATTTGCTGTCAATGTACTGTCTGTTGACTTATTCTGGTTCTGTTTTCATCCCTGTCAACCTTTTTTTCTTGTATCCTTTTTCACTTATCTATTTCTGTCGAACTTCAACCCGGTCATCTTTTTGTCCTTTGACCTCTTTCAGACTCTATTTCCATTCCTGGGGACTTTTCTCTCTTTCAGCATTTTGTCCTTCGCCTTTTGTCCTGTTTGACCACCAGGCATGTCACGTCTATCTCTTTCGGCTGTTATTCGACTTTTCATTGCATTGTTTGAAAAGTCAATGCGATGAAAATTACCTATTGATCTCAAATGACCTAATTACCTCAAATGACCTATTATGACCTCAGATGTATTAGAATGCTATCACAACGTGTTTTCAGCAAAGCGTTCAAACTCTGCGTACAAAGTTGCCTAGTAAAACTGCTCATTTTGAACGCAGCATGTGTTTCACAGAAGTGATCCATACAGGCAGGTCATGACCCGGACCAACGTCCTGTTTTCTGTGGTCATATGATGGTCGTGCATTTGAATTAGCACTCTTTTCGTCATCTAGAAACACCAAAATTACCTAAAAATGCGCTCATGATTTTTTTTTGCAAAAGCCCACAGATGACCTGACTTCGGCTAACTGACCACGTCTGTTTCGTGAAGCAGAAAAATACAAACTGTAGGTGCTGTTATGTTATTTCACTGTAGTAAATGTGAACGGCAGCTGACTCATAACTAGATTATGTGAGGTCAAAGTTGTTTTAGAGCTCGACATCTGACCTGACTTAGGTCACTGATCTTGATGGATTAAAACTACAAACTTGCACACAGTGTCAGCTTGATAGGTGAACAGGTAGTAACAATTTTGTGGTTCCGGAAGCATCCGTTTTTTACCTGTGTTCGAAAAACCATAGAGAGAGTCAGGTAAAGCCCCCCCCCCCCCCCCCGGCCGGGCGCGGGTTAACACGCGCCCGGGTGGCCGGCTAGATACCCTTCGCTCGGA